CCCCAACGACCTTGCTAGAGAACTGGACAAGCAGCACCAAGATCTGTTTGAAAGAGATATAACACTGTGCGAAAAACTTAGGCCAGAACCATGGACAAGCAAGCCAGAGAAGGCAAATGTAGTCCTAAAGGTATCAGGGATCACTTCAAAAGATGCCCAGACGGAGACACAACAGAGAACCCTGGCTCTTGCTTTGCTTGAGCAAACACCTCTTGGACAAAGGTTTTCACCGACGGCTCTGCTATAGATGCAGTCAGAAAGGGGAGTTGTGGAATATACATTAAACCCCCTAGCAATAGAGCAGAAACTCTCTCTCTCTCTCTCTTTACCAGCAGGTGACATTTGCACTAACTTCAGAGCTGAGGCAACTGCTCTCCTTTCTGCAGTCTGACATCTGATCACTCAAGAACACGGAGGGCACAAAATTGTTATACTTAGTGACTCATTGTCTGTTCTCCAAGCACTATCAAGCAAAAAACAAGACAAACTAATTGCAGATCTAGGGACCAACATTGGCATACTCTCTAAGGAAGCAGAACTGGTCTTGCAGTGGATGCTAGCCCACTGTGGTATTCAAGGAAATGAGAGAGCAGATGAGTTGGCAAAAGCTGGGAGTAACCTTCCACAACCTCATCCACCATACAGCTACAAGGAAACCAAAACAGCGCTAAAGCAGTCTTTCAAGCGGGAGTGGAGAAGGCAGAATGGAGATAACAGACCAGAGAGTGACAGTATAAACAAACTCAACAGGAAAGAACAAACATCAATTTTTAGACTTCAGACTGGACACTGTGGTCTTCGAGCATACCTGTACAGGATAGGCATAAAAGAATCTGCTGCCTGTGATTGTGGGGCAGAAAGACAGACCCCTGAGCACATACTGAAGTACTGCCCTTACCTCTCCCAGCAAAGACTGTGGATCTGGCCCAGGGGATTCACATTGCGAGAGAAGCTATGGGGGACCGGTGGCGACCTTAAACGCACAATCCTATTTTTGACCCAGACGGGACTCAATGTTTAGCATGATTGATGTCGAACTCAGAAGAAGAAGAAGACTCTATTTCTCACTGTTGGTCAACTCGTAAAAATATCCCAAAAAGGTCAACTTGTAGACTTTTTACTGTCGTACATCTTTCAATTCCCCCCCCCCCCCCCCTTCCCCCATTCCTGACCATAGGTCAACCCAAAAAATATGCTCACGATAGGACTCCTTTTTAACTCTGCAACTACAAAATTTACACTGACTTAACACATTTCTTCTCACATAGGTCAACATGTCAAATCATTTCAGTATGGGTGGACTTTTCACCGCTGTCACTGATTAACATCTTAGTAGCTCCTTTACAGTCGGACATCTGTGTAAATTTGTTTAACACTTTACCCCAAGCCATTTCACGGTTGGTCAGCTCGACAATCTACCACACAAGTACTTATGCTTTTTCCCCCCAATGTCAATACATCATCGATGGAAGCATCAGTTAACGATCAAATGGGTGCTAACTCACACAAGATATTACACATGACAGACATATATATTGGTCGTTGACATGGATGATTGTCAAACCATCTTCTGCTAGTTTTTTTCCGGATGATTGTCAAACCATCTTCTGTAAGTTTTTCCTAGTAAAAGGGCAAGTTGAAAAAAAAAAAAAAAAAAAAAAGACAAATCCCAAATCATCATGACAGTTTTTACCAGCCTTGTGAGTTGTGACAGTCGTTCAGATCAAAATGGAAGCCAACATCTTTCTGTGTGTGCCCTATCACACATCCCCGAGATACCCAAAGATACGATTAATGTTTCTAGACAAGTATTAAACAATATATATGATGCTGATTTTACGACAGTGATTGCTGTTTTTTGTTTTGTTTTTTGTAAACAGTTTGGTGACCCTGTTATCTGCTTCAAACATCAGATTGTCTATAACAACTAAACGATGCTCATTCCATTGTTTCATTCCAGAAAGTTCTTTATAAAATTTAGCACCCTCGCATGTTTTCATACATCGTTTGCTATCCCCTACCTACCCCTCCCCCCTTTTTTCCCCTCTTGCTAACCATATGATTTTAACACTGCCTTTTGGACATCATATAAAAAAAAACGTGAAAGTATGTTTCCAATGGCGATCCATAATTATTAATAATACTTTAAGTCCCATACCACTATTTCTCTCTCTCTCTCTCTCTCTCTCTCTCTCTATATATATATATATATATATATATATATATATATATATATATATATATATATATATGTGTGTGTGTGTGTGTGTATGTCTATATATATATATATATATATATATATATATATATATATATATATATATATATATATATATATATCCAATCGCCCCGCCCCGAGTTAAAATTTTAACAAATCAACGTCTTATTATGGAAACACAACAGAATAGAAAACTGCAAATTAAAAGAAAAACAGGTGTGCGACAGGGATGTCTTTTTTCGCCTCTCCTATTTTTTACTGGCTATAGACTGGATTATAAAAACAGTAAATGCTAACGCCAGGAATGGAATTCAGTGGACCCCTACAAAACAGCTTGATGATCTGGACTTCGCTGATGATATTTCTCTTCTTTCCCATTCACTGAATCAGATGCAACATAAATTAAATATACTTAATGCGAGATCACAGCAGCTTGGTCTGAAAATTCATAAAGGAAAGACAAAGATAATGAGAATAAATCAAGCAAAGAGTAATGTGGTTTCACCTAATGGCATCCCACTCTAAGACGTGGAGTCGTACGCCTATTTGGACAGTAATGTAGATAAAGATGGAGGAACTGATAGAGATTTTAAAATAAGAATACAAAAGGCAAGAGGAGCTTTCATAGCACTAGGGAATTTGTGGAGGTCAAAAGAAATTTAAAGAAATACCAAACTGAACATTTTAAATTCTAATGTCAAATCAGTACTTTTGTATGGGGCGGAAACATGGAGAACAACTAAGGTAATTACTAATAAACTACAAACATTCATTAACTGGTGCCTGCCCAGAATAGAAGGAATTAAATGGTATGATAGGATAACTAATGTAGAGCTTTGGGAGAGAAATAAATAGGCTCCAGTGGACCAAGAGGTGAGGAAAAGACGCTGGCGTTGAATAGGACATACACTGAGAAAACAGGAGAACAGCATAACTAGACTGTCTTTGCATTGGAACCCACAGAGGCATAGGGATAAAAAAAGTCAAAACAAAAACACACACATGGAGAAGAGAGCTGGAGAATGAAGTTAGAAAGATGGGGAGGACATGGCGATAGCTCTAGCGAAGGATAAAACGGCTTGGCGTGTGTTGGTTGAAAGCCTATGCTCCATTGGGGGGTAGAAAGGCGGAAGAAGAAAAGAAGAAGTAATTACATGCATCTCGCTATTAAACACAATACAGTCAATTTTCTTTAGCACGACTACCTCACTGTTTATTTGACTAACCTATCGAGTTTTAATTATCCATTTTCATATTTGATTTTATTTTAATCAGCCGCTTTCACCACTGTATATATTCTTCTTTACACCCTTTTGACAAAACATCTCATTTTCTGAAGTCCCATATTTATCGATTCTCTAAAGTTTACTCTATAATTGACACATCCCATCCCTGACACTATTTGATCAATTTATCGATTTGTACATTTTTCTATTATAAAGATCTAGCACCATAAACCATGACAAAATAACTTGTTCTTTTTCCTTCGTTCGCTTGAAATAGATTGTCTACATCTGCAATGTTGTCTCTAGTATGAACTTTACTGTCCTTTGTAATTCACTCAGCAAGTTTGACTTGCACCGATGTTTCTCTTGGCCAAAAGTTTTGCCTTGATATGCTGTATTTGTGCGCAGTCTTGGAGGACATGGTCTGCTGTCTCTGATGCTAGTCCACATGTGCACATGGCTGAATCGGCGATTTTAAATCTTCTGTACATGTGGCTGCGAAGTTGATTATGTCGCCTAACAAACCGAATATAATAATGTGCTTTATCTAACAAGCCGGCACTCAACCAACTTGGCTGCGTCACCGCAAACGCCACTTTTTTTTTTCCTTCCAATCTTTACCATAAATCCAGGCGACCAACTTCGCTAGGGTTGGTGGTGCGCTGCTACCTTTGCGGAGTCTCCCTAATAATACTTTTCTATAAATGCGTAGGTTTCGAAATTGGTACCGAGAGCTGACCATTCAGCAAGCAATGTCAAACTGCTGAACATAAAATTTGCCTAGAAAAACCACAACAGCCAAACAATGCTGTGGTTGGTTCTCCAAAGTTTTGAAAAGGATACGCAAATAAAAAATATAACAAAAACAGTTAATACAGAACATACTCCCATCATTGACTCGCTAAACACCGCCTATGACCAGCCAACGCCTACTGGCTTGCTTCAATACTTTTTTATATCTGGGAGATATCGCTATCACTGACTCCACGAACTCCCACAGAGACCCATCTTGACCTAAATGTCGCTTTCATATTTTACTATATAAAAGTCTAGCACCATATACATTGACCATCAGTGATTACAAGTGACGAACCCAAACCCTCACTTAACAAGTCGAATATCACAATGCATCCCAATTAACAAATCGGCATGCCACCATCTTCTCGGCCCTTTATATGCATTCGAACCAGAACCAAATGATACATACATTGCGCTTACCATACTACCCTCGTGACAAAGGAGGGTTGCTCAAGGAGTTACTATCTCGTTCTGTAGAGAACTTGAGTTTCAAAATCTAAGCGCACTGATGTATATATACACACACACACTCACTGTTGGTAATGACAAAATGTGAGCAAGAAGTTTTTTTTAATGAACTTTGATATTAATTAGCATCATTCGGCGAGGCACATGATAATACTAAGCATCACACATAGATGCATTTTCACATTTAATCCTCAACATTAAACTATAATGTATAATGAGGTATTAATGTGATAATAATATATTCAGGGGTGGTAGATTTCCTATTGGATTGACCATATCACTGTTTTAAGGACATACAACATCTGCTTAACGAAAGAGATGACTTTGGCTGCACTCCGCTACATTATGCTTCTAAAGAGGGTCATCTGTTTGCTCTGGATGATCTTATCAAGATGGGCGCAGTGCTGAACTTGAAAGACAATCACAAACAGTCGCCATTCCACTTTGCTGCCAGGTATATATAACAGTTTATATATTGTACAATTTATACCCTGCACCCAATCTAGTTCATTTTTACAACGCTTACGTTAACTTATAATACAGTATAATGGTTGGTGGGCACAATTTAAACAATTTACGTTACGCTGATGACAACAGTCTTGACAGCACTAAGTCAGAAAGAACTACAGGAAATGATAGACATTGTAGTGTTAAAAAAAGTCAAAGTCGGGAGATGTGAACCAGTGTCATTGCACACGGTTGTAAACCATAAGTGCACTGCCACCAGTACGGACAGCTGATAAGAAACTGTCCGCCTGTGTCGCCGTCCACATAAAACTCCGTATCTACAGCAACGTTCTTCCCTTTACCCCAGAGTCTTAACTCTGGTACCTATTTCCTAGAGGCTGGGTGAACCCCGGGAACCATCCGGTTTCAAACACCGGCCGCGGGCTGCAGCGAGTCACAGCTGGATTTGAAAGCGAGCCTCCTATCGATTGCGCTGACGCGGCTGCCATATTTGTGATGTTAGAAAGTGGAAGAATTGCCTTTGTTCGAATAATGAGAAGACAGATTAAAGGTGGTATCAAAGAAACGAATTATTCCTAAATGTTTAATAAAAGGCGATGGTGTTATTTTGGAACACGTACATAAATTTAAGTATCTGGGCACATGGATAACATCAGATGGAAGATGCATAACTGAGATAAGAAACATAATAGGACAGGCAAAAACTGCATTGTATAAAATGAAGAACATCTTGTGCAGTATATCTTTGTCATTGAGAGTTAGAAAAAGAATTCTTGCTTGCTATATACATCCAGTTTTAAGATATGTCAGTGAATTCTGGACAATCGGTAGGCAGGCAAAACAATTTCTTCAAACCACAGAGATGTGGTTTTACAGAAGAATGCTTAAAATACATTGGACCGTTAAAAAGATCAACCAAGAGGTTTTGAAAGAAGCGGGAACCCGAAGATAAAATATCACAGACATCAGAAGGAGACAGTCATCGTTTTTCGGCCGGTTATGAGAAGAGGGAAAATAGCGCATGCTATGACCTTTTGAAAGATATGTGAAGGAGGGCTGGAGGAAGACAACGAGAGAAGATTATTGACAGTCTTGTTGCATGGCATGGAGGTGTGTCAGCACACGAACTGATACATGCTGTAGGAGATTCCAGATTTTGGAGAGGCACGATCGCCCACGCCAGTCGGCAAGGCATTTGATGATGATGATAATACACACCAAACATGAAGCCTTTCAAGTGAAATATACAGATTATCGTTAGCAGTCAGCAGGTCGATTTCAGAACGCACACCTGTGATTGTTGGTTTCTTGCCTCTCAGGCACATGCACTCCGACTTCCAACTATGCCCCTCTCCCCTTTTTTCCTTTAGTTAGTCCAGTCCTAGTACGACATGTCAGTTTGGGGAGGCAGTGGATCGATTCTTGTTTTCCTACACAATAGGGCCCCTGATCCCACACTGGAAGAACGAATATAATTTAGTAAACGTTATGTAACTTTGACCAGTATGTTATTGGTGGAAGTATTTTTCCCCATAAAAGAATACACAAGGCAACATGGGAATCACCAGACCATAAGACAACTAATCAAATTGACCACATATGTATTAACAAAAAGTTTAGATCTTCCCTTTACGATGTTAGGGCTTTCAGAGGTGCCGATGTATTTACTGACCATTTCCTGGTGATAAGTAAAATCAAGTTGAAACTAAAAAGATATATAACATCTTATAATCACAGAAACCAATATAATGTAGGCTTTCTCAGAGATAAAGAAATTAAGAAACAGTTCTCAGTTACGGTCTCTAATAAGTACCAGGTGTTGCAGCAGTTAGATGTCAACACAGAAGTCTGCTGGGATCAGATCAAAGGAATCTGGAATGAATCTTGCGTAGAAGTTCTTGGCAAGAAAGAAAGGAAACATAAAGTATGGATAACATCAGAAACCATGAAACTGATTGAAGATAGGAAAAGTAAAGAGGCAGAATTAAACAATAGCAAAACTAGAGCTGCTAAAGCTAGAGCTCAGGAGAATTACACAGAAGCCAACAAGGAAGTTAGGAGGCATATAAGGGCAGATAAAGTGAAATATCTAAATGATCTAGCACAAGAAGCGGAGACAGCAGCAGCAAAAGGAAACCTCAAAGAACTTTACAGTAACACAAGAAAATTAGTAGGTAAATATAGTCAGCCAACTGGATCAATCAAAAATAGTCAAGGAAAGGTACTTACTAACACTAAAGATCAAATGGACAGATGGGTTGAATATTTTGAAATGCTTCTAAATAGACCAGGCCCAGAGGTTCCCCCAGATAGCCTTTAAAAATGGAACTGGATATCAACTGTGAGATACCATCCAAAGAGGAAATTAGAAAAGCTATAAATCTTCTTAAGGAAGGAAAGGCGTCAGGCCCAGATGGTATCCCAGCTGAAGCCATCAGGACCAACATAAACACATCAACAGAATTGCTACATAGATTATTCAGTAAAGTCTGGGAGACCGAAGAAATACCAGCAGACTGGAGAGAAGGATATCTTGTGAAACTGCTCAAAAAAAGGTGATCTACAGGAGTGTGAAAACTATAGAGGAATTATGTTGCTGTCAGTTCCTTGAAAAATATTAAGTAGAATTATTTTGGAAAGATTAAAAGATGCTATTGATAAAATGCTAAGAGATGAGCAGGCAGGTTTTCGGTCTAACAGATCCTGTACTGATCAGATAGCCACATTACGTATTATAATAGAGCAAAGCATTGAACTGAACTCACCACTTTACATTGGATTTATAGACTATGAAAAAGCATTTGACAGCATTGATAGGGAATCTCTCTGGAAATTGATGGGACACTATGGAATCCCACAGAAAATTATTAACTTAGTAAAGGCAACATATAAAGACATGAAATGTCGAGTTCTTCATGAGGGAAAGCTAACAGATGCATTTGAAATAAAAACAGGTGTGCGACAGGGATGTCTTTTGTCGCCTCTCCTATTTTTACTGGCTATAGACTGGACTATGAAAACAGTAACTGCTAACATCAAGAATGGAATTCAGTGGACCCCTACAAAACAGCTTGATGATCTGGACTTCGCTGATGATATTGCCCTTCTGTCCCATTCACGGAATCAGATACAGGATAAATAAAATATACTCAATGCGAGATCACAGCAGCTTGGTCTGAAAATCCATAGAAAAAGACAAAGATAATAAGAATAAATCAGGCAAATAGTAATGTGGTTTCTCTTAATGGCACCCCACTCCAAGACGTGGAGTCGTACACCTATTTGGGCAGTAATATAGATAAAGATGGAGGAACTGATAGAGATATTAAAATAAGAATACAAAAGGCAAGAGGGGCTTTCATAGCACTAGGGAATTTGTGGAGGTCAAAAGAAATTAAAAGAAATACTAAACTAAAAATTTTTAATTCTAATGTCAAATCAGTACTATTGTATGGGGCGGAAACATGGAGAACAACGAAGGCAATTACTAATAAATTACAGACATTCATTAACTGGTGCCTGCTCAGAATAGAGGGAATAAAATGGTATGATAGAATAACTAATGTAGAACTTTGGGAGAGAACTAAACAGGCTCCAGTGGATCAGGAGGTGAGGAAAAGACGCTGGCGTTGGATAGGGCACACACTGAGAAAACAGGAGAACAGCATAACTAGAATGTCTTTGCATTGGAACCCACAGGGGCATAGGAATAAAGGAAGGCCAAAAAACACATGGAGAAGAGAGCTGGAGAATGAGGTTAGAAAGATTGGGAGGACATGGGGAGAGCTCCATGTAATAGCGAAGAATAGAACGACTTGGCGTGATTTGGTTGAGGGCCTATGCTCCATTGGGGGATAAAAAGGCAGAAGAAGAATGTAACTCTAGGGAGTCGCCGTGACGTAGTGGCCAGACGCCTGTCTGCGGATCGGAAGGTCGTGGGTTCATTCGCTAGCGGGGCCAGACTTTTTTCAAAAATGATTTTGGCCACCAGGTAGACCCAGCCTTAAGTGAGCACTATGTGCAATCCTGTAAACTAAAGGCGGCCGTCGTAATGCTGACCACATCACCCATTAAGTGTCGTTGGTCTATATAAGATAGGTCTAGCCCTATATACCTGATACGCCTAAAGGCGTGGACAAGAGTCCTTTACTTTACTTGACATGTTACCCTGCAGATACGGGCGTGTGAACACATGCAGGCGACTGCTGGACAGCATTCATGGGCCCAACATCATCAACGAGACTGACGGGGACGGCCTGACGGCTTTACACATCGCCGCACAGAACGGCCACACCAAGATCATCCAGCTGCTGTTGGAGAGGGGCGCGGTTGTCAGCAAGTAAGTGTCAGAGAAGTCAACCGTTAGGAAAAGTAAATGGCATGCTAAAGATATAGTGATAATTATGTAAAAAGCCACTCTTACGAAATGGATAAAATCAAAAGTTTCGTATTCAAGCAAAAGTAATGATTTCCTCCTCCCGCTATAGCATCAAACATATGTTGATATGCTCTTATATAACAGTAGGTACTCGGCGGCTGATATAGTTAACATACCCGGTCACTTTTACATCCCTGGGCATTTCCTGCTGGCTTTTGTAAGCTGGGTCCACTTGATAGCCGAGGTAATTGTTTTTTTAAATCTGCTATTCAGGGATTCAAACCTAAAATATTCAGGCCAGCAGGTCTCTAACCTCCAGGCATCAGTGGATCAGGGAATTAATGGTGACAGACCCAGTGGCATAAGAAGGGTAGAAAGGGTGATGTGGTGTGGGGGAGGGGAGTGCAGGTTGTAAAAGGAAATTGCAGTCGTTTTAACCTGACCATTCTACCTCACTGGGAAAATCCATATTTTTTTGTAGACCGGTGTGTTCTCAATGCGTAATGCCATATCCAACAACCAAGCAAGATGCTTTTAACTTTTCGTATCTATATTTATGTACACACAGAGTAGAACCTCCAAAGATGGTTACCCCATTATGATGACCTGGTTCTCTAATCTGACCTATGAAAAAACCCAAAGTGGAACAAAAAAGAGTATAGTCTATTGGCAATATAACCAGTCCACCCACATGTGGATTATCTCACCAACGTTATATTCCTTGTTTTCCTGAACCTTAATCACTTTAGCATAGCTCATTTGTTTGGCTCAGTGTCGTGAGCATCGAAACCCTTTAGCCTCGGTGCCACGTACATCGTTAATCTCAGGAGTATGCGGCTTTTCTGCCATCACCCAGCTCGAACACGAGACAGACCACGCATGGGGATTGTCACCTGACGTCCAACGCGCTATCAACTACGTTGGAGCACCCCCCATTTGATACACAAACTCCTGCCACCAATTACCGCCTCAGAAATCCATCCTCATGACCTAGCTACCACCGAAATATTTAAATGCATTACCGGTGGTCATTACTAAACCACAGACTGCGCTGGAGTGGATTTATGTATAAGCTAAGAAAGCTACATTTTTGGCCCTCAGAATCGGCAGGGGCCTAAAAACAATCCTATTTTGTTTTCTTAACAAATGCACTTTTGTTGTAACATATTTTACAAATATGTCCACTTAGCATCATGTGTAGAGAAAGCGACATGTTATTTAAAATAAATGTTAATGACATAGTCAATGATTTTGCACTAGGAAATCAAGGCAAAAACATGCTTTAAACTGTAAGAGTATTCATCATCAGTTCTCGTTATGCCTAGTGGCACATGAGGCTTCAGAGAGGACTTTCCATGCTTTCCTGTCCTGTGCAATCTTCAGTGCTGTTTTCCATGGCAAAGATGCTGCACTCAGGTCACTTTCTATCGTTTGTCTCCATGTTGTTTTTGGGCGCCCCTGTTTTCTCTTTCCCTCTGGTGTCCATGTGAGAGCTGTTTTGGCAGGTATATCAGAAGTCATTCTCATAACGTGGCCAAGCCATTTCCATCTCCTCTTGGTAACCATACTGTCTAAAGTTTCTTGGTTTGTGGCTTGAAGTAGTTTAGTGTCTGAGATTGTATCTGGCCAGAACATTTTGATAATTCTACGTAGACATGTGTGGTGGAAGGTGGACATCTTGTGCACATCCTTTTTGGTCATTCTCCAGCATTCCGCTCCATAGAGAAGAACTGACAAAATGATGCTCTTGTAGAGTTGGAATTTTGTTTCTCTGCAGTAATTGTTGGATTTCCAGATTTGCCTCATCCTTCCAAAAGCAGCTCTAGCTTTGTTCAGGCGTGACTGTGTGTCTTCCTCTGTCCCTCCCAGTAGGGACATCACACTGCCAAGATATGTGAAATGTTCTACTTTTTTAAGTGATTGTTTACTTATGGTCACTGGTTGTTGGTTTAGACTGTTTATCATGATCTTAGTTTTCTTCGTATTTATTCTCAGTCCCACCATTTCTGCTGTGCTGTGTAGTCTGTTACTTTTCTATTGTATATGTTCATGTTTATGTGATAGGAATGCTATATCATCTGCAAAATCAAGGTCCTCAAGCATGGTGAATGGAGTCTATCGTATGCCTCTTAATGTCCCGTCTACTGTGTTCTTTAGTATCCAATCAATCACAAGGTTGAAGAGGAGAGATGAAATAACACATCTCTGTCTTACACCTGTCTTTACTGGGAAAGATGTATTGTAATTTTTTATACTGCAGGAAAAGTCTTAATGGAAAAGTTTTAATGACATAATCAATGATTTTGCACTAGGAAATCAAGGCAAAAACATGCTTTAAACTGTAAGAGTATTACATAATTTAATTTATGTGATTTTGCAAACAATGTTTTTTTTTTCCTTTTATAAAAATTAAACGACAATATATTTTCGTTATCCATATATTTAAGATACGTACATATTAAACAGTTTTCTTAGACTAGCTGGTGTTTTATTGAAAACAGTAGGGGCTTCAGGGCTTTATATGTTAGGGCCTCATCACGTCTAAATCCTTCCCATGACCACTTCAGTTAGCTTTATTTGTTTATTTTGTTTTCCGTCATTTGCTGCGAGGCTTGAGGCATCATGTATGACAATCCTTTTGTTTAGGAAACTGGATAAACAGCAGCCTTTTCTGGGTCGATGACAGCACTAATCAGTGCACTCTATCCTGTCACATTGGCTGTTGTTTGTCTTTTTACCTATAGCCATTGAGCAGTCAGTTGCCAGTCGTCCCCATTCTATAAAAACAAAAATCATCTGTAAATGTCAAAACCCTATCCTGGAGCTTTAGTTCTGCAATCTGCCTCGCATGTACACGGAAGAGCACTGGTGAAAGTGCAGTGCCCTGTGGTAGGCCCAATGAGATATTGCATGATTCCGAAGTGCATGTAGCCAGACAAAGAGAAACACTACGTGAAAGCAGGACAGGCGTGAGCCAGTTTCTGAGCCAGGGACAAATCTATTTCTCTATGAGAGCAGACATCAAAATATAATATCTGCCTCTTTTGTTGGCAAACTCAAGATCCAGTGCTGCCACTATCGCCTCCTCTCTCTCTCTCTCTCTCTCTCTCTCTCTCTCTCTCTCTCTCTCTCTCTCTCTCTCTCTCTCTCTCTCTCTCTCTCTCTCTCTATATATATATATATATATATATATATATATATATATATATATATATAACTGTGTGTGTGTTTATAAATATATATATATACACACACACAGATAATACATTTATACATACATATATATATATCTGTGTGTGTGTGTGTGTGTGTGTGTGTATGTTTAGTAAAAAATTTACTGAACTCATTGAGAGTTTTACAAATGTCCCATCTCTTGCAGGGACCATGAAGACAATTCAGCCCTTCACCATGCTGCAAGTCAAGGCTGGACTCACAGCATGAAAATCTTGCTGGGAGTGTATCAGAACCTAAGGGATCTGCCGAACCTAGAAGGGGTAAGTACATGAAGAAAGTTGGGTGAGAGATGTTGGGGTATATTGTAATGTGTAACTGAATATGTGTGAGAGTAGATATGAATACTGAGTCTGTCGCAAAACGAGAGGGAACATTGTGTGTGTAGTGAAAAATTTTCTCCTTGATAAGTTATGTTACAAATAGAATGACGTCATATAATAAATGTGAATGAGAATTTAAATGTAACGAGTGCTAAGCCGAGATGCACTGGGAAAATGTTGGCCAAATGAAACCCATGTGAATCGGAGAACATGAGAAAGTCGTATGGGGCATAATTATAATGTGGGCGTTAGAAGATAATATAATGCATTAGAAAGAGCATGTCGACAGTCTCTTTTGGGCCAAGAAAATGAATGCATGGAAAGCGGAGAAATTTTTGTTGTATCCAGTGTGCGTATGATATGTTTGCAGAGTTTCTAACGCTTACTTGGCCAGGCAGCAAAGACGGACGGGAAATCGTCGGCCAGTTGATTGTGTTCGTCACCGTCATGGAGAGTAGTTGTTTGTGTTATATTGTTTTTGTGGACTGGTCTAATTTAGTTTCCATCAATAAAGGCAATGTTGACATTAGTTTTGAATTGACTTTAGATATCAGTACCTAGACATGTACTTCATCATGTACCGGCTGAAGAAACAGCGAGTGGAGAATAAAGAGTGAAACCGTATTGTATAGTTCACTGTCGTCCATTTTTACTCGTGGTGTTGATATCTGTGGGTGAAAGCGGTGTCTGCGAGTGACTTGAGCCAGAGTGAATAAAAACCAGAGTCATTGCAGTGTGAATACTGGCTGCATATTTTTATATTCTCGCTGACACACTATTAGTGAGCTGGTCGACCTAAATTTGGACAACTTAGTATCTGAAACATATTCTAGTGACTATTTATGTTAAGCTAACAAAAGACTTCATGCGATCTAAAAGAACAATGTTCCCAACAATATGAGTTCATGTTTTTCTGTTTTTTCTCAATTTGTTTTCTTGTGCAATGCCGTGTGGAGTTGAGGTATAGGGGCGGAAGAATGCCCGATTTTGTGTGTATAAATGGAGGCGGGCTAAAGAGAAGGATGGACTGATAGGGGTTCTATAAATTCTATTATTCTCCCTGTCCATCGTTACCGCGGTAAGACTCTCTTTCAATTTCTGCTGTGTTTTGGATTTTCTCACCTGCTTAGCCTTCACCGGCTGTAAATCCAGGCCAGGAACTCTTGCTGTTCGTCCACTTTTGGACTGTAGTCCAGTTCCAGGACTAGAGTTTTGGGTGCACATCAATTTTAATAATCCTGTTTACTTGTGTGCAGACTACCACGTGATTGCTGGCCTCTCCGACAGATCTTTGACGTCAAAAGAAGTCTCTATAGTCTGTAAACTTCAAACTATATCCGTTAGGCACTAAAGGTCGCCTTAGATTTCGCCGTTAAGGAGTGCAGGAATGCGGGCGTGCAGAAGTGC